ATGTTGTCTACGCTTTATGTTTTCTTCCGTGCAATGGCCAAGGCGAGGTTGTCCTGGCTAATAAAGCCCTGTAACCCTCACTAGCAAGCAGTTTTAGTACCACCTGTACCGTATCTCTGCCATCAGGGCTGTCACAGAGCCAAATCTATTTTTAATAAATTCCTGTTAAGGCCCTCGAGACCCCCCCTCCCCCCTTCATGCGGTCTCGGCTTCTCCCGGTGTCCACCCCTTGGCCATAAGGTGACGTTCGCGGCTGGGCAGCCACAGCTGCACCAAATGCGGTAACTGCCACAACTGTACAGTAGTACCTCGTAGTCCCACGGTCGGCCATTTCTCCTGGTAGACCTTTCGCCACCGCCGTCGCCACCTTCACTAGTCTGCAATGGAGAACGATCAGGTGTGTATCGCTTCGCTAACGGCGAAGAATGACTTTCTGAGTGGATATTAGGGCATCCTCGTCGACCTTTACGTCCCCCGCAAATGCGCGGCCACTAGTATGTCTAGCTTAGTCTGGTTCCAAGCATCAGCGTAACCTGCTTCTCTCCAGACCGCCTTATCACGTCCAAGGACCACGCCTCCGTGCAATTCAGTGTGGCGGACGTCGACGCCAATGGACGGGCTCTGTCCACATCCACCTCCTTCGCTCTCTGCGGTCAAGTCCGGGCTATGGGCGAGAGCGATGATTCGATCAACCGGTTAGCGACGCAGGCTGGCTGTAAGTTTATAGTCTGTTGCATATGAGTGCAGACTAACTGATTGCTGATGGATATTCGATAGTACTCCGGAACGTCTGGTCGTACCAAAAGTAGAGCTCCATTCTGTCACTGCTTGTCTGTATTCTTTAGGCATCTCTCCGTGCATCTCTCTGTTATTGCATTGCGATCGTTCATGGGCTTGAACGAACCACAACGGGATATGAATCCCGCGCTCGCGTCTGAAGTGTCAGCCTTGCTCTCAAAATCATTATGACTGTCTGCTGTCCACAGTCTAGTTCAGTTGCCGCATCGCGCCCAGGGATGGTCGAGAGACAGATGATTCATACGTCCCCTTTCTATACGACCTGACGCTGTTACAAGTGCCATCTCTTGCGCTCACGGTGCGGTGTTGGGGACCAATTGGGGACCGTACAGTGTGAGGCAAGTGTGAGGCGCTCAAAACCGACCACTCGGCAATAGGCGAGCCGCGGATCCTATCACGATCGTGAGAAAAGACTTTTAGGTCCCGAAAACCAGACCAATCGATTCCTTTTCACGAGAGCTTTCGGGCCATCTGATTATTTTCTCGAAATTCCCACGTTTAAGAATTTAATCCTTCACATATTTGAATTTGGGTCGGAGATGCAGCGGAGCTACCAAAAAGGGAAGCTTTGTAATCACGGCCAGGGTAGCCGAGCCACGTGCCTGGCTAGGGTTAGGGTGAAGGCACTACTTGCTCTGGACGTGTGGGACACTCACTATCGCAGGAATTCCATCGGAGACCCCCATTCCGTATTATACAACCATATTGAGTGATCAGGACGCAGCTGGCTCCCAAATAAATGAGGTTACGCTCGGCGACCCCATATTTGAACGCTTACGTACGCACCGATAAAAATGAAAATGCAGGATTACGCATCTTTTTGCCAGGTTTATGTTTCAAATCTTTTTCTCGCCGCCTACGGCGGCATAATTAAGGTGCCACAGAGGTGCCGATTCTTAGTGACATACACTGTAGGCAGCGTTTATTTTGATCGACAAGGCCGCGCACGTGGCATTACGACATCATTGGCTGGCTGTGTCTTGCACCGAGAGAAGGCGGCGGGCGTCAGCCACTGGCAGGACTTGCTGCGGCCACAGTCTGGAGGTTCAATTCGACTACGGACGCGGCTATATATCTCGTTCAATGGGCTCGTCCCCGCAGTCGTCGCCTTTTGACGGAACCCTGTCTACTATCTCTGTGGACTCTGTAAGGCTCTGAAACCCGTACAGCGCTTGCCACTCCTTATCATCTCGAACCAGTCAGACTCGATGGTAGAGATCAAGAGCGAAGGTTTGTCGGGATGCAATGGCCCCACACAAGAGCAGGACAACCCTGAAGATAGCAAGTATCGCTTATTGTACAGTAAATCCAAAGTTTACGTGAATCCTACCGCGTACGCCAGGGATAACATTCCCGGCTTCGTCACCTTGGTGAAAAGAGTGAGCAGCAGTAAATGGTCTCTTAATGCACGGGCTATAGTTTTGCACAGGAAGCTGCCAATCCGACGTACTTCCTGGCGTGGATCCCAGAGAACTTGCTCAATGAGAAAGGTCCCGGTGAATGGGACAAATTCGTCAAGGTAGAAGAGAAAGCTGCGCTGGACGAGGAAATTGACGGTAAGACTATCCTATGGTGCTACCAGTTGTAATTTCTTATCCCTTCCGAGATGCTGTGTTAATCGACCTTCCTACGTCGAGACCGGAGTCGTATGCCTTCTCTGTTCCCATCACATCCATATACTCTCTCATTGTAAACCCACCGACGTTATCATCATGGCGTGAGTCCTCTTTCATAGTTGACTTGCAGATGCTGAAGATTACGCAGACGGATCTATTGCCATAAACTTGATTAATGGGACCACACTGCCTACTTTACATTTCCACGATGATGAGTCGAAATCCTTTACATCCAGCCACGTTGCCACTTCACCGGTCACAAGACGCAACCCTTCTTCGTATCCGCCTCCTCCCAACGAAGCAAGTCTAGGAACGAAATCCTCGACTTGGGGAGGTGAAGACTTGCTAGCGCGGTTGCGCGCCTACTGCCATCTTATGCGTTCGAATCTGCAAACTAACTTGTACTTGGTTGACCCTTCCAAGGCGGACATTGAAACGCATTCCACGCAGATCTTCGACGATGACGCAGTCGATGATATTCTAGCTACCTCTTCTTATGCTGACTCTCACTCGCCCATTCCCGCCCACAGGCGGCCTCGACCGCTTCCCACATCCGCCGCCTCACCACCCAATCCTTATTCGAACCGCTCATCCATCTTGCATCGATCCCTTCAGCCTCCATCGCCTCGGTCTCAGCCGCCTTCGCAAGCTCGTACTGCCTTGCTTCAATCCTTTTCGAACATCACACGAGCTACTAGACACGCTGCTCAGAATATACTCTCTCATCCTCTAGCTAAACCAATTGTACCGCATCTACCTGATCCCGTCAAGAGTTTTGTGAATGCCCCTGGAGAATGGAGCAGTTGGGTAGAGAAGAGTGGGGTTGGGGAGTTCGAAAGCGCCCGTGTATACCTTGCTCGGTGGGCAAGGATTGTCGCCGAAGAGGGCGAAAGGGCGCGGAGAAGAGAAGCGCAGGCCATACCGTCGTCGTCTTCCGAGGGCTTGCCAGAGGAAAACTCATCACTTGGAGTATTTGAGTTGTTGCACTCCACTTCGAATTTACCGACCCCCAAGTCTTCCAGGGACCCAGCGCACCCGGTGAATGAATACATGTGGGAGATTTGGTTTGAGAACGACGGTACACCGAAAGTGCGGATCGAGACATTGAAGAGAGAAGTCTTCAGGAGGGGAATCAATCCGAAGGGGCAATTACGACGGAAGATATGGCCTTTCCTGTTGAATGTCCACGACTGGGATGCTACCCACGAGGAGCGAGCTCTGCGCTGGGAAGAGAAGAAGTACTTGTTTTCATGCCCTTTCCGTCTGTCCACTAAACAGGTTTCTAGGAAAGAATACCACCGTATGAAGGATCAGTGGTGCGGCGTGTCAGAAGTTTTTGATCGACCAGATGTCATTGAGGTATTCTCTAATTTCTTGATTTCTGGATTGGATCTCATCGCCTATCCTAAGGAACGACATCGAATTGACGTGGATTGTCGTCGGACAGACCGTAGTCAGCCGATGTTCGCCTCACCTGCGTCAGCTGCCACGACGCCTAACGAGGAAAAGGCCATGCACCATCGCTATTCCATAATGTCCCCAGGCCTAGGAGATATCGGTGCCCAATCGCCGAGCAACGAGCATGTCGAGAGAATGGCAGCGGTCCTGCTAACATACAACTTCTACGAGAAAGAGCTGGGTTCGTAGTCACTCGTGTCTGCACCATGTTTGCATGCATCCATGATGCTAACATCAAAGGTTTTGAAGGATACGTGCAGGGGATGTCTGATCTCTGTGCTCCAATCTACGTGGTCATGGATGGTGATGAGGAGATGACGTTCTGGTGTTTCGTAGAAGTCATGAATCGCATGGTGGGTATTCGCTGCATTCTTTCCAAGGCAGCTAATAGGGGCTGACGTTGAACAGAAACAAAATTTTTTGCGCGACCAGAGCGGCATGAAGAAGCAGCTTCTGACTCTGCAGGAACTCATAGCGATGATGGACCCGGAGTTATATCGGCATTTAGGTAAGGCAGTCGACGCCATAGAGTCTGCCAGCGTGATTCATAAAACATTCGTTACAGAGAAGACGGATGGGCTGAATCTATTCTTCTGCTTCCGGTCTGCAAATCCATATATTCCTTCATGGATGATGTCCTGAACAATTCTATTAGATGGGTGCTCATCACCTTCAAGCGAGAATTCCCGTTCGATGACGTCCTTCGTCTATGGGAGGTTCTATGGACAGACTATTACAGCAATAACTTTGTACTTTTCGTGGCCCTGGCAATACTGGAATCTCATCGGGATGTGATCCTGAGGTATCTGATCGAGGTGCGGACGCTGCCAAAGCTTTCTGCTTCTTGTCTTCTGAAGACTTTCACCGCAGTTCGACGAGATTCTGAAGGTGAGTTACGAGTTCGAGCACCTCGCATGTGCTAATGGGTCTTCAATAGTACTGCAACGAACTCAGCATGACGATTGAGCTTGATTCGACCCTGGCTCAAGCTGAAGTCCTCTTCCTATCATTCGCGCAACTAGTTGCGGACATTGATCGTCGTCAGGCTGAGGCTCCCAAGTCGAATTCCAACAATCTCCGCCACCGTCGGTCTGTCAGCGAAGCAGGCAACCAAGGCGCTAACGATGATCTAGCGCAGAAGCTACCCACTATCAGCGAGAACCTGCGGGAGCTGTTGAAGGCTGGCCGCTAGGCATCGTGTATTGTTAGTTCGATCTCATGTTGATCATAGTCTGTATAGTGCAACTCCCAGCCATGTATTTCCCGCCTTGCGTATTACATTCGACTGCTACCCGACGATGTTGCAGCACAACTAGCAATACTCAAGCGTTCTCTCCGGTTCAACAATAAGCAGCCAAGTCTACCGACAACCCAGAAGATGGAGTCGTTGGTTGGGTACATAACCTATCACACAGCTTTAGGTTATGAGCCCAAACAACTTCTCCTCTCGAAGTAGTGGAGGGGGAGAGACAAGATGTCTGAGTCAGAGCATGTGCGGAATTTGCCGACAGCCCAGCGATGCACGAGACACGACGCGTCCGCCTCATCCTCTGTTGCAGTCGCGTCCTTATTGCTCGAAAATGCCTAACCTCACGATCCTGCGTACATACGCTCTCAAGTCCAGTCCTACTGAATTACCTTCCTCCGTACTATTCCAGCATACGGAGAGGTCGCTGACTATCTTCGATGCGTATCCGAAGGCCATGTTCCATTTTCTTGTCCTTCCTCGAGTGACTCCGCCATTCACGGTGGCAGAGCTTAGCAATCTGAAGGCTCTCTTCAAGTCCGGCAGGGAGCGTGCTAAGTCACTGATAGAAATGCTTGGCCAGGATGCTCGGCAAATACAGAAAATGGTCGAAGAAGAAATGGTGAAACGGTACGGCTCCAAGTGGGACGTCTGGCTTGGATTCCATGCCGTGCCTTCCATGGAGTGAGCGATTTCGTCCATTCAACTTGCCAACCGCGCCAGTACTGGTCTGTGGTGTAGACATCTGCATCTTCATGTTATTTCTTCGGACTTGGTGTCGCAAGCCCTGAAGAATAAGAAGCATTATAACTCCTTCCACCCAAAGCTAGGCTTCTTTTTGCACTTGAACGATGTCTTGTCCTGGTTCGAGTCCGATCAGTCCTACTATGACATGGTGCGTGCGATTATCGATCTCGGTGATCTAGCTGAACAGCAGGAACTGGACCTGAAACCGATGCGGTCCTGCTATGGCATTGCAGAAGACTCAATTAAAGAAGGAGGAATATGAACCCTTGCTGAAACAGGATTTGGTGTGCTGGGAATGCGACAGGCCCATGAAGAATATCCCTACACTGAAAGGCCATCTGAAGGAGAAGTGGGAAGAGCGGATGAAGAAGGAGAAGAGCAGGTTCGATAAGAAGCGCAAACGCGCCATTGATCCTGAAGAGGCAGCTGGGATAGAGCAGCCTTCTTCGGAACCTTCGAACAAACGCGCTGATACGGGAGACACTTTGTGACCGGTGTGTTGTCTCTGACTTCCCTATCTTGATCAGTAATCCGTGCGTTGTATTAATGGAACCACTCCTGCTCCAAACTTCAAACGCGATGATATCGCGTCTCGCCGGATGTGACTTGCTTGCGTCAAACCTCCCGCCACTCAAACGCGCATATTTCCTGCGAATGCTAGCTCTGTGGCCGCGCTGGACTGCCATCTTCGAGTGAGATCGGACGTACGGTCCGACTTGCAGTGGCAGGCTTGCTCTTGATGCAATCCCCTGGGCTCAAGCTGAGCCCGCCCTCGTGACAGACAGCTAGGGGTAGAGGACACGCATGGGCAGATGTAATAATGATATGAAAATTGTATACGTACTAAACCTCTTCGATATGCCCCGCACGAAGATCGAGAGTTCCATGCACTCCACCGGGAAACTGTAAATCTCTCGGGGTCGCGCCCTACATAAGCGTGATCTTTCCCTCTGTCCTCTTTCATCTGCGCTCCTCGTAAAGCCTATCCACTACTGCACGGGGCCTCGCAGTCACACGGAGAATCTCGTCTATATAAGCCTCGCGTCTAGGGTCTCCGGATGCAGCCTCTCACCGAAATGCAGTCTACCCCAGCAGGCCGCCGCGCGTCCGAAAGGCGTCCCTCCGGGAGACGTCCCTCTGGCATACCATCGCGCCGTGGTTCCATCGATCCCTCGAGGCTTGTAGCTATTGACAAGTGAGTATGCGTCCCAGCCTTGGATTCGTGCGATCATTTCATCTACGGTGGACTAACGAGATCGGATGCGCAGGGCGAGCGCTATCGGAGGACACGATAACTTCAATGTACTCTTTATCGGTGCAGGAAACATCATGTTCGGTGCGTGAATTCATCACTTGCTGAATGTCTTCCCCTGACCCCCATATTTAGGGTCCCCCGAGGGTCCCTGGAACCACTCTTTCCGTCTCGAGCAGTCAGTACCTTCGACTATATTCCTGGTTTTATCTGTTATTCAACCGCGCACACAGCAAGCTCGGCCCGCGCCTCAAGGTCGTTGCGCTGATCGACCCCAACACCGAGCGCGCCGCCGCCGTGCTCGAGAAGAAATGCGCGTCCTTCGTCGTCTCCGCGTACCAGAACACGCGCATCTTCAAGACGCTCGACGACTTTGTGAAGAACATGAGCCCGCGCGACCGCCCGCGGGCGGTCATCGTCGGCAGCCCGCCCATGTTCCGCGGGACGACGAAGCCCGGGCGCGACATCGAGCTGCAGATCCTGAAGCACTTCCCCGGCGTCGCGCTGTTCATCGAGAAGCCGGTGGCGACGGGCCCGAAGGAGGAGATCCCGGAGGGGTTCCAGCTGGCGAAGCAGATCAGCGAGAGTGGTACTATCTGCTCGGTCGGGTGAGCGAACCTCTCTCTTGTTCAGGCTCTCGAGCGGTTCACTCATGGCATTCAGGTACATGCTGAGGTACCTGAGAGCTGTGCAGACGATGAAGCAGATCATCACTGAGAACCAGTTGACCGTGATGGCCACGGTGGCCCGTTATGCTTGCGCATACGAGGCGATCGCTAAGCCAGACTGGTGGGACAAGTCCAAAAGGTGCACTTCTTTCTGCTTTTCCCGCTGTATGCTTCTCATGTATACCCGTTAGTGCTGGCCCCGTTATTGAACAGGGAACGCACTTCTGTGATCTCTCCCGCTACTTCGGGGGAGATGTCGACATCTCGACCGTGGTCGCCCACTCGCTGGAGTGGTACGAGCCCCCGGGGCACCTGAGCAAGATGCAGGTGGACGAGAGCCAGATTCCCGAAGAGAACAGGATTCCTCGTGTCACCAGTGCTACATGGTAAGCTCGTGGCCGTGCTTTCGTGACGCATATTTGCTGACGCGGAGTAGGAAGTACGAGAACGGCGCTGTGGGCAGCTTCACCCATGTCGTAGGCCTGCAGGGCCACAATTACAGCTGCGAGCTCGAGGTCTTTGCTGACGGCTACTCCCTGAAGTACGTACACCTGTCTCCGTGCCGCTGCATGGCGGGCTAATCATCTTCGCTTCGATGTAGGTTGGTCAACCCTTACGTCCAGCCTGTGCTGTACATCCGCAAGCCCGGCGATGACGACGAGACGGTCCAGCGTTTCGCGGACGATGACCCCTTCTTCTCCGAGGTTCGTCCAGGTCATTCTGCGTCATACATACGTTGCTGATGCATAGTTGTTGTATAGATCTCGCACTTTATTGATGTCATCGAGGATATCGAGGAGGACCCGGAGGCGGCGCAGATTCTCAGCTCTTACGAAGGTACGTAGCGCATACGGAGTATGACTTCTGCATGATTGGCTGACTTGTTACTGCTGCAGATGCCGTCAAGTCCTACGAGTTAACTTGGGCTATTAGAGAGGCCAGCGAAAGGTCGAAGAAACCTCGGGCTTAGTATAACTGTGACCAAGAGAAGCAAGGAAAAGAACGTGTCATTGTAATTGTCCCAAGTAGACAGAGGTTTACCTCTGAATAGATAGAATGAATATTGATCCCTTCGATTCGCGTGAGGCTAGGACGAATGCGATATCATAAGAAAAGTGACATTAATGCGATGCAAGAATTATGAGTGACTGGTATCAAATGGAGAGCGATCGATCCCATTCGTGAGCGGGTAACGTACACTGCAAACCGGTTCTACCTCCCCGGACCAAAATGCAACAGGTATCATAGGCAGAGAAAATGCAATCCGTCCCACCATTGATTAGCTTTGTTTCCTCCAATGTAAGGTATGCAGGTCAAGAAGATGTGTTGCCGCTGCTGCCGCCGTTCTTCCTTCTCTCCTCGAGCTCCTTGCGCTTCTTCTCGGCCGCCTCCAGCCTTTCGGTCATAGCCTTGAGCTCGGCGTTGAGTTTCTCGTTTTCCTCGGAGAGTTTGAGGACGTTGGAGGCGCGTTTCTGCACCCGGGCAAACCTGCTCGGTGGTAACCGAGGAGACATTAGTTAGCTGGCTGTAAAGAGCTGGAAGAGCACGCACTCGGGGTCGGATGCGAAGTCACTCTTGCTGTTGATTATTGAATCAAAGGAGAAATCGAGCTCGTGCTTGGGGAGCTCCGGGAGGTTGGGAGACTGCATGCCTGACCTGAGGGCTTCTCCTGATGCTTCACGACTGTGCGCTGGAGGGGGCTCGTCCGACGACGGCTGGGACGGATCGGGGACGTCTGAAGAGTCTGGGTGCTCGTGGGGTTGTGCGCTGTACGGAACGGGGAGTTAATGACAGGACGGCGGGGACGGCGGGGGACTGACGGGAGGTGCTCTGGCTGGGGGTCTGCGCCAGGCTGGTGACGGTTGTGTGGTGAGTCGATCGGGTCCATGTTGGTTTCGCAGGGCTATATCCGGCGCGGTGGGTGACGAGGTCGTGGAGCAGTTGGTCGCCGTCAAGGCTGATATTTTGGTGGCCGTCGAGTGCAGCTATCCTGCTTGTCACAGAAGCCCGAATACAGGGGTTGCCACTCCATATCGGGAGTCCCTCCTGCCTTTCTGGGCATCCTCGGATCGCCTTCACGGTGAAAGTCCATCACCGCTGATCCTCTTGCAGCTGCATAAATACTCTGCTCTCAGCGTCATTCAGACATGGCTCGCCTCTCTGACTTCAACTCGGGCCATCTCATCATCCTGCTTTCCATCTCCTTCTTCGTGTTCGGCAGCTATGCTGTTCTGTTCAGTGCGTTCGTCCCTTCAACCGGCATTACTGTAGGTTCTCCATGATTTCCCCTGCACCTCTAAATAGCTTTGGGTATCCTGATCATTGACTTGGTTGATTGATAGGTGCTAGACATGATCGCTCGCGATACCCATTATAAATATTTCTTCATCCTGCTGGTCCCTACCACCTCGTATTTTGTCATCGCGAACTGGGTCGGCTGGCAGTACTTCAGGAACTCCTAACACCTCTCTCGACAAATTTCTCAGCACATGAAGCTCTGTCCTGCCCCCATCACGGACATCATGTCAGGGCACCCTGAGAGCCATGTCGAATTGACTCTCCAGAACCTGGACGACCGTCAGGATATCTGCTTCTATCTCCAGCAGCTGCGATCTATCTCGTTGGCACGCCTCTGTGTGCCCATATTACTCACCCTGACTACGCTCGCGGCGACGGACAAGCGTTGGAATACGGTGATTGTGCTTTATAAGCCTCGTCTCCCACGGATAGAGTCCTCAGACTATCGTGCGCCGCTGCTCGAGATGACTCCCCTTCCCTCCAAGTCCATACCATATCACCGAGGCCGTCCTCTTAGAATCCATGGCGCTCACCAGTCGTGGGTCCGGTGGTAGTTTGCCTCCGGTGTTTTGCTATGTAATCCGCTCACGGCGCTTGCGGTACTCCACACGTTGCTTAACAGGACCTGCACGCGGAATGCACATCCCTGATGCGCCGCAGTTGCTCTGCGCAAGCACTACGGGGCCTGTGGCGCGCGCCCTGGACATTTGCCCTCTTTTATTTTGGGATAGTCGCCGCGGTGTCCCAGACCAAATGGATCCGAGTCAGATACTTGCCCCTTTGCGGCTTCGGTCCAGCTTATGGATTTAACGGAGGAGGCTCCAAAGAGGGCGGGGTCTATCTTCTTACACCTCTGGTTCCGTCGGGCTGGGAACGAGTGTACCTAGATGGCCGATTTCTCAGGGCATCGGGCAGTTGTCCTCGAACATCCGAGATAGGGATGAATGACAGTGCGGGCCCTGGTAATGATGAAGAGTGTCTGGTACATTGGTGGGGAATTTTGTAAGATGGACAGTCGGGTGCACAAATAACGATTACACCCTAACCAGACAATCCGACATAAAGCATATGCATAGAGGATATAACATGGCTTGCGTATAAATATATATAATAAATAACCGTCCGAGGGGAGCCGCTATGATGGATTAGATGCCCTATCGCTGGGTGTTCTGGACTTCCTCTGCAGCTCCCGTAACTCCGTCCACAACCCAGTGCGTCGCACTTCGCCCGGCGGCCCGGTGATGGAACTGAGAGGCCGCGATATACCAGTGACGTCCGTCTTCTTGTCGTCCTCCGCATCGTCGGACGAAGCGACAGTCCGCGCAGGGCTGACGTCGCGACCGCGGGCGAACAGTCTTGGTCTGCCCACTTCGCTGAGCCTGGGCGGGGGAGTGGGATTGGACGCGGTGCTGGATAGGAAGCTTGCGAATGCTGTTCTTGTTCTTGTACGGCCCAGTCTGTTCTGCGCAAAGGCGGAGATGGAATAGCTCGGGTCCGGCTCGGAGCGCGTAGGCGACTCTGAGCGTGGGGCAACGCGAGGATTCGATGGGGCCGTTCTCGAGGTAGATGCTGGAAGCTGGGGTCGGCGCGGGGCAGCTGTCGGCAAACGCAAGTAGCGGGCGCGTCTACAGCGACTTGATGAGATTTCGATTGGAAAGCACAAGGAAAGAAACGCACGCGACAGCCTTCAGTTCAATCTTAGTCTTGTATTTCTGTACCCATTTATCCATGAAAGCAGCTAGGGGGTATTAGTTACGACCAAGTTCCTCTGGCGATTTCCAGCACTTACATAAAACGGCTTTACGATGTTTTTCTCTTGCCTGTCTAGCTTGAAGAGCTCGCGGCATAGCGGCTCGCCATTTGTCCCAGAACTTGGTCTTCAGGTTCGACGCATGGAAGCGAATGGCAGGGAGCGACTAGAGGCAGGTGCACCTTCGTCAGACCCATGAAATATAGGAGGACAAACGGACATACCCTTGTCTTCGAGTGCCAGATGCCAAACGCTCGGAACAAGGTATTCCTCTGCGTTCGCATGAGTAGGTCAATCTCCTGCGCGCATATTCAGTGTCTATTCCGTGCTGCTAGTCGAGGCAGCTACTCACAATCGGTCGAAGCCTCTCATCTTTAAAGCGTTCTCGCCACTTGTCCCAAGCGGCTGCCAGAGAAGCACGCTTGATCTCGGCTTCCTTCTCTTGCAATACTTTGCGTCGATGACGAGAAGCACGGGCTGCAGCCAACCATTTGTGGAACGTCCGCCGAATCGTCTCTGCTATCGCATAAATACCGTGCATTTTAGGCCTGCAGCGGAGTCACCCACCTTCGCGTTTCACGTCCTGATAACTCTCCATGAGACTGAAATCCTCTGCGTGACGTGCGCAGATATTCTTCCACTTCTTGAAGGCAGAACTAACAGACCGTCAATGTCATCCGGGATCACATAAAGCCAGGGCTTACGAGAGGAGTCTCTGGTGGTAGCGCTGAGATACCAGGATCTCGCGGTCCTTGATGTCGACTACGCGATTAATCCAGTGAGACAGAGCATCCCTCATCATCCGCTGAATAGTACGGGTGAGCCTACACAAACTATCGCTGATGAATAGCCCACCTTAGCGACAAGGTCCTGTATATAGCCTTCGGCTAATTTACAGTGCCGTTGTTCTCTTGTGCGTTGAATCCACCCTATAGATGAACGATGTGTAAGCGACATTTTGCTATAGTAAAGCCGGTACTGAACCCACTGTCGAAGTATTGAAGCAACATCCGCTGCTCTAACAACTTCAGCTTCTTCTGTCTTTTTTGTTCCTCAACCTTCTCTACCCAATGTTTCCAAGCCCGCCGCATAAGGAAGAATTTCTCTGCAATCTTTGCTTGTTTGATCATCTTCAAGCGGACTCGCAGTTGAATACGCCACATATGTAGCATCTTGAAGGTCAGCTGCGCAGAGTGATACTGGACAGCGAAGGCTTGCGAGTTGCGGTGGGTTCGGTAGACCTGATACCAGGTCTTCAGAGCAGATACAGCGAGCGAGGATTTAGGACGTGTCGCGAATGCAATAGCAGTGCCTGTTTGATACGTGGGTGAGAACAGACCCAGGAGTAAAATGCGTTACCTACTTTCACGCTCTCGCTGAGCCGAAACTCGGGTCTTCCAGACCGCCCAAGTCTGCTTCAGAAGCCTTGTGGCTCTAACACGCTCGAGCAGCTTGCCTCGTTCGTGCGCTTTCCATACCCTAAGAACAGCTCGCACGAGAATATCATCCTGTCGAGCTAAGTGTTTATCTGCACGTCGTTCTAGTGCCTAAACCACACAGCCGTCAGGTCCGACTATACACTTGACAGTAGCGGAAGTAGGTTACACACTCGTATCCGGTCTCTAGATGTCTTCCAAGAACGCCAATGCCTCTTGATAACCATGGCATCGTGGAACTCTTGTGCAGTATGGTAGTCATGCCTGAAGTACGGTCAGAACGTGGTGGTCCATTCCTTCCGATTGTGCACTTACATCTGTCTCTTCCAATTATTGAATGTGCTAGCCATGATGCGAAGGCCCGTCCTCTCGACGACGGTTCTCTCAGCGGCCTTCAACTCGGTTGCGCGCTTCCATTGATGCCATACTCGAATAGCACCTCTGTTCTCCCTCGCCTCGGAGAATTCATCTGCAGCAGCTTCAAGATGCTCGATCTCTACCAGCTTCGATGCCCACCGCTCGAAGAATTGCCGGGCGACTTGTTTACTATAATGCTGTTCCGCAAGTCGAGATTGGTATAATTGCCGCCATTTTGCCCAAGCGTCCTCGACGAGCTTGGCCTCTCGTCTCTCGCGGACGCTCTTCATCTTCGCCCGCATATCTTGCCGCCATTCTTCCTTCTTTTTCCGTTGTAACTTTGCCTTCCAAATCGACATGAATGTCTTGAGCTTCTTGTTATCGGAAATCTTTGCTACATGTTGATACACCTCTTGCCTGGCAATTAGTTTGCTATGCCAGCGGTGGATAGCAAGTCTTAGGATGAGGTTGTCTCGGGCCTGAGCTATTTGCTCATGGGTCGTCTGAGAAACATAAGAATCTGTCATAGAAGTTGTATCCGAAGGTGCATACCACGGTCCATTGATACCCTTGCCTCCATACATCCCAACACCTCTCGAGCAGCCTCTCTTCACGAAACCTATCGGCCTCTCTCTCATCTCTTTCCATCTTGATTTTGTTCCACGCATCGTTCTCATTCAAGACGCTACCTCTACGTTCTTTGGCCTGAGCGATGCGCTGGGCAGCAGTGAGCTTAGATGGAGGAGGAGGGAGAGATGGCGGGCGAGTTATTCTTGACGGAGCTGTGGCTTGCCGGGTGTGCGCAGCTGGCACTGCACCATTTCGTGGTCGCTCAATAGCTCTGTAGGAAGGCGGCGTGGTAGATAGAGAGGGTGCAATGTCTACCGTGGTCTCACTCAGTGCGGGTTCCCATAGCGCAGGTTGCCGGCGGACAGGTTGGGCCTCGAGAGCTTTCGAAGGTTTCTGCCACGGAGTCGGGGTAGGGGTAGCGCCAAGATCGAGACCGAGAGAGTTAGCTGCGGCGGTGGTAGAATCAGCCACAGACGGTGGCCGCCGTGCCCAAAGGCGGGAGTTGTGGTACTGTGGTGCACTGCCAGTTTGCTCCGTCTCGTCCTCAGTCCCCGTGTCTTGAGTATCAACATCGTGCGAGTGTAACGTGAACGTGTCATCGTCGATTTTAGGTACGGCTCTCGGACCCAAGGTGAGGCGAGCAGGTACAGGTGTGGACGTCTTGACTGGAGCCGCTGTACCCCGAGGCTGAACTGGTCGCGCCTGCTTGTCGTACCCGTGCAGTTCCTTGACCACCTTCCACTTCTCGCCCCAGTTGGGTCCCTTCAGAGTTCCAATCTTAAGCAGCTTGCCATATAGCACGACTTCATTTTGGGGATCCAAACCGCGGTCCTGCAGGAGGTCGTTGTACGCCTTGAAGACCGTCAGGAAAGTTGTGGCGGTCCGGCCTGCGCGGTCTATGACCGCGTCGATGAACTCGACCTGGTCAGTGGATAGACCACCGAGTTCTGGAACGGATGCGGAGGAAGAGCGGGAGAGGTCTGCGGCTTGAGTGTAGGCGATGGCGGATGTCGTGCTTGGGGGGATTCTGGGAGGCGGAGACGCGCGAGTAGGCCTGAAGCGCGACATGCTCGGGCACGAGTGTATGACATGAAGTCAGACGACAAGGGCAGCGAGTAGGGCTACGGCAGTCTCATTCGACGCGTCTCATGGTGTTCCAGTTCAAACGGTCCAAGACGCGTCGTGTGGTCGCGACGCGTTAGACACGTGCACGTGTTCCCGCTAGTATACAAATTCAATAAAAATAAAGCAAGTATCGACATCTACGCGCTCGGATAGAGCAGATATCCTGAAAAATTCCTAAGCGGCTTTGAAGTGAGGGTGACACACGGAACGCCCTAGTAAAAGGCGAGGGCGTTGTCTGTTTGTGCCACCCTCAGCCGCTAATTAACAGTGGTCAGTGCAGCAACATATCGCCTATCAGCTGCGTTTTGTTCCGCCGACGGGTTTCTCAAGAACGGAAAATGGCGAAGACCGTCTTATTATGGCGAAGATAGGCAGATACATCACAATGGACTAACTTCACATTAATATACAAGGGAATAATAGTACATGACAATTGGACATATCCTACATCACTAGAAGTACACGCGTAAAGCAGCACTTGCATTAGACTCCAGCGGGCAATAGGGACACTTGACGCGTCTACATAACGTTGGCAGAACATAGACGTCAGTAAGGCCGTCCACAGTAACGCGCACGACTTACCCTCCGTTCCTGCTCAGCTTCTGCAGACTGTCCTTGGCAATAACGTGCCCACACGACATCATCATTGGCGGGTTCGCGTCAGTCGACTGCTCCTTCGACACAGGGCAGGCAAATATCGAGTGGTACCGGTTCTCCGGAGGGAGCGGTATTTCGATCTACATAACTCGGTCAAAATGGCTCTCACAACCAAGACAGTGGAGAGAAACGCAACTGGTAGCTCATCAGTTTGACTCCACTCGCTCTTCCGCTCTCTCATGAGCTTCCTCACTTTCTCGATCCGCGCCAGTGCACCTCCCCCTCCGATATCCCCAACGACCCTCAACGGCACCTGCCTGCTCATACCCATACTAGCGCAATACTCCTTAGCGAACATGGGCTCCAGGTCAAAGTGGATCGCAGGCGACGCTAGATCTGCATACGGGGATGTTTGCAGACGTGATAAAGGCAGATAGGCAGTGCACGTCATCAGTCGATGAATCTCCAGCGCATGTCGCTCGTAGAAGGGGCCAAAGTTCACTTTCGCATAGGCTAGAGCGGGGAGCGGCTGAGGAGGATGAGAGGCGAGCAACAGGCGTATGTACTGGGAGCGGTGAAGGTAGAACTCCAGTGGCGAAGAACGGGACTCGAGAAAATCGCGGTTATCCTTCGTCCATCTGCAGCATGTACAGTTTAGTTGCAGCCCAGGCTCTGAAATGCACCCATTCTCACGATAACGCAGGGCCAATGTCCTGATTCTTCAACGACTGGAGAATCTGATGTAATTTCCAGAACTGGCCATGCATACCAGGAGACACGTCTGCCCCGCATTCCTGGAGGGAGTCAGTTCCGGAAAATTCTCCTAGAAAAAAGTCCAACCTCGATGAAAGTTTCAGCTACTTTGAACTGCCCCGTGCGCAGAAAGTGGATGGCAACTGTTCGTTCCAGCGCTTGCGTTGCCTCAGGAGACGCAAACATAGGAGGAGACGTCGGCAATGAGCTCGTGAATTTCTGTGTACATCAGCTCTAAGGTATTATATCCGTACGCTTCCACTTGCGCGACGCACCTTATCCAGAGCTTTGCCATACCGCGACAGGCACGAGTATATCTCTCTGTGTCTATCCTCGACATCCTTCTTCCGGGCCTCCACGGTCTTCGTGAGGTTAGCAAATGTGTCCTGGGTCTCAGTGCCCGCCTTCAAGCGGTCTTGAACTTGGTGTAAGTATTGGAGCAGGGCATCGAGGGAATCCTCTACGGACTTGCTCTTGCTCGACGATGAGTTGGAGGTCAGCTGCTCTAGCTTGGCGAGTTCCTTCAGAGGTCCCTCCATGGTGCACAGCAGCAGACAGTATCTCCTCTGAGAGTACCAACAAGTCTCAAAGCGTATTAAACGAGAGGGAGTACTGCAGTAGGCTCGTAACCACCCTCTACAACAGATTGAGGCAGAATCTATGTTGTAGAGGCTGGTGCATTTGGCGTGGGAATCCAGTATACGCGTCGTTATCTTCCTGCCGCAGCCCTGCCGTTGCTGCCGACGTCCGCCGAACCCTGCCGAAGTCTGCCGAATGCGCCTTTCGTAGTCGAGTAAGAACCCTGGTAGTCCAATACAACCAGCTTTATAGTGTCATTAGAAATGTTGTAGTCGGACTACAAGTCGCGCCCGCTGCGAAGTCTCTCGCTCCTCGCCGCTCCCTCGTCCGACGCTCGTTAAATGTTTGGATACAATATGCTCCTATAATCATGGACAAGATTAATGCCATAGATGTCTACCTTCGGGCCCTTGGAAAACGAACTCCGGACTGATTTTTCTGTATATTACTTATACCTTACCGAAGGGTCTACCCGCGCTCTCCGATGATTTCCTGGCGCAGCTATCATGGCAAGAGAAACTTTCCACCGCAGTGATAGGTCTGCGATGTTTGTTTGACATGTCTGTGTGGCGGTGAGTTGTACGGCACGGGAAGGCTGCAGGAATTCGTCTCTGGGACGCGCTAAGTCTCGAGATCTTGCGGACTACAAAACTCTTTCTAGTCAGATTCCGATCAACTTGAGGGCAGGGCGAAAATTCAACTCAGACAAACTCAGCTGCCAAAATGTAAGCAGCCGGTCGGCGAATTAGAGTTAACGAGGCGTATACTGGATTCCCACGCCAAATGTACCAGCCTGTCTACCGATATTCTGCCCTCAATAGCGGTACGACAGGGTGGTCACGAGCCTAGTACTGCAGCTGTGCAGCCTGCCACGGTGAGTAGTGAAAGTAGTGTTGGTCACTAAGTGAAGTCGAAGTCCTTCAAAGTGTGTTTATGACACACTTCGTTTACTCGAAGTCACTTTAAAGTGACGTCGAAGACTTTGCGAAGTCAGTGGCGCGCGTGCACCCAGGATTCTCACGGCTGTGGCTGCTGTCCTGAGGACGTCCTCGCCGCCTCGGACATGAATTAAAGGTCGTACACAGTACAATGTAATTATACAAAGTATCCTATGCATCATTCCTATCATCAGGAAAATACTTCTCCAAGAACTGAGCCAAAACATCGATCTGATCACTGGAAATGAGACCATGGACCTTCTCCTTGGGAGGCTCAAGAACCTCCCGAAGATCCGCCTCTTTCGCTGCCCAGTCTGCAGCAAAATCAAGACGTTCATGCCGGTAGAGGTACTTTAAAATCTGTAGGACTTCAAACATAAAGGCAGAGAGCTTGCTGCGACGGGAGTCGTCGGTTTCTCCGCTGGATGAGAACACCCTCTCGCATGGAACGGCGGAAGCTTGAACCGGTAGGATGTCGAGTGCAACACGATAGAGCAACGGATATTGATGTTGATTCCCCTATCGAGCCGATGAGAATGAAAAATGACTTGGACTTGCAGAAGTGCGATCCGAAACATACCTGCCAGAACGCGACGAGATCGAAGTCGTCCAGCGCGTCATCTCCAATGACGCCCGCCGCGAGGTAACGTTCAAGTTCCTCGTCCACGATGAGCTGGTCTCTAATCTCCTTTTGTCGCTCAATAGCCTCTGCATCGGTCGTGCCGACGCCATTGATGTCTTGGCTGGCTTCGCCGGAGGTGGTACTAGATGCCGTCGACGAGACACTCCCCTCAGAGGCTGCTTTGACAAGCCGGCGGATGTTGGCGAAGCCGCGAGCTTGTGCACGGGCAGCGGGATGAGCCACTTGCCCCGTGACAGGACGGGCTTGTACGGGTGCCGTGGCCCTTTGCAGTTCCTTCCGGTACCTGAGCATCTGAGGTTTGTGTGAGTGCTGCGAAATGAACTAGCACTTTGATACGCACCATCTCCCGCATCCACTCCTTCGCGGCCAAAGCATCTGCTTGAGACCAATGGTCTTCAATCCACTTGAGCTTCGTGAGAGGATTGACAACTGCACAATTGGATTAGCTAATGTCACATGAATATACAGAGCACTTACTCATTGCGAGCGCATATATACGAGTCGTCCGACCTTCCAACATGTATTCTTCGATCTTGGTGATGGCAACACGGATTCCGTGTGCTATACCCTTCAATTTCTTCTCCAAGTGCTTGAGGGCATCGAGAAGCTGCTCATAGGCCGGAAAGACCATTGCTATCGTGGGGGTCTTCTCGGCTGACAATACTTCTTGCACTGTATGAGGAACAGATAAAAAGTCGCGAATGTCGTTCAGAACCTCGCGCTCCTTTGGTGGGAGACCGTGGTCATAGATCTCACTCTGCTTAGCATGATCAAGGAAGCAGCTGATGGCCTAGAGGGGAATGAGTGAGACCAGGGCAAAGCTCAAGAGGGTGACACATACCGGATACAACTCTAGAACTCGGTCAATCATAAGGAACGTCGAGGACCACCTGGTGTCAACATCTCTCAGAAGCTCATTCTCTGGGAGTTCAGCCTCGAAGAGATTGCCTTCGTTTCCCTCCCGAATGGTCTTCTGGAAGTCAGAACGGCGCTGATCGGAGCCTCTACACGCAGTGACGAGGGAGCGTGCGCGTCCGACGGGATCCCTGTTGAGTGCCGCAAGGTATTCGACATCATCGACCTCGGCTGTGACGACGTCGATCTGGTCGAGCAGCTCGAAATCGGCGCCAAGTTCGTCGGGTGCTATCACTGTCGATCCGCTTAGCACCTTCAGCGCGGTTTTGACGGCGATATTAACAACGTGCGGGAAGCATCTGTAGGTATACATTAGCCAATGAATGACTGACTATACAAACATGGCTTACCGCACTCGATTGCCCTTGTGGTCGAAGGGTATACCTAATCCTGCCAGCTCGGCCGCGAGATGAATCATCATGGTGTCGTTCTTGCTGTCGTTGTCCATAGTAACCATACCGATCTATATAGTAACAATGAGTGTTATGACAACAGACAATCAGCACTGATCTACCTTGTTTTCGATACCTAGGTCCCGCAGAACATCCATGACTATGCGGGCAATGTTCGAGCCTGCATGACCTCCAGTGAGGCGGCGAAATGCGAGCAGACGGCTCCGCAAGATGAGGCGTCCGGTCGGGTCTTTCGTCATGTAGTGACCCGTGATGGCGAGGTATGACCGAAGGCGCTTGTCGGACCAGGAGTCGGTCGTGAGAGCCACCCGGCCTAGTGCTTTCTGACATAATTAAGAGTTCAATCAGTCAGAGGATGATTCAGTACTCGAGACTCCCTACCTGTATCTCCTGTTTCATCTTGTTGTACTCCTCGGTAAACTTCGCGACAATCAGACGGCCGAGTTTCTTGTGGTGCGGGATATCGTTCTCGGTCAGTTCCGTACCGAGAAAAAGCAGTAGGTCGCGCAGTTCCGGGCTGTCAACGACATTAAGAGACTATGAAAAGCAAGATTATGTGAGTCTGGGGTGTATCCTAAACTTGCGCGACGTACTTGATCATCAACGGCAATCCACCGTACAAGTCGATCGAGAAACCCTTTCAAAGAGAAGGGCTCTCGTACGGTTTGGCCTTCCTGTCCGGCGTCCATTGCGGGGCTTGCTAGTAGCTCTCTCCAGCCTTTTAGATGGTGTGTGATGACGATGTTGCGCCAGACAGTGCCGTGGTACTTCTTGAGGTGATCGCGGATTGTCGAGGCCATGCCTGCGGTACATTTCCAGGCAGACCAGTCTTTCTTTTGCCTGACAGGAGAGAAATGAGTTGTCACAACATCTGGCAAATGAAATCCCATTACGCACTTGCATAATCGGCAAGCGACGAAGGGCGCATCGGGTTTGGTCCTGTATTCCGTATTGTCGACTGGTAAAGGTAAATTTGCTGGCTTCTCCCTAGTGTCGACCGGCCGCATGCAGAACCATACGTCCGAGGCGGTGGACTTCTCGATATTCCGAGACTTGCGATGCCGGACGACGGAGCCGTAATACGGTTGCTCGACGTCGGAAGCATCACTGACGCCGTCGTCCGAAGTCCGGTTGACGGGCGTGCTTGACGCTGGACTCTGAGTCGGACCAGCTCCGCAGACGGAAGCTGTCCTGGGTGCGCCGTTCTCCTTCTCTTTGGCCTTCTTCGAAGCGCGAGGTGCACCGGTGCCCTTCCTCTTGCGTTTGCGCGCTCCCGGCTGTGCTGTATTGATCGCATTACCCGTAGAGTCTTGTAAGGCTTGAGTCGGAATAGAATTTGCGGGTGGTGCTGAGATCTTGGGTGGGACCGAGGCCTGAAATTGAGTGAATGAGGGTTGATTTGTTGACACTTGGAAATGAGGAGGGGGCCAGTAGACGGGGTATGCAGGAGGACATGGGTACTGGAAAGACTGGTTAGACTGGAGGAGAGCTTGAGTGTCCAAGGGGTCATTTGGGGTTTGAGGGAGGCTTGTCGATGGCCATGTGGAGAGGGTAGCAGAGGTTTGTGAATATTGAGAGCCTGGGGTGCAAACACAAGCCTCGGGGGTGTCGCAAAAGCAGGCAGGGGTGGCCATCGGGACGAAGAGGGCACTGGTAGGGCTCACACATATTTATCGCAATTTAATAGAATTTACCGGAATTTTCTTCGTCGTCGAGTAGCGCGACGAGCAAACGTTCAGCCGCTAAGCGGGACGCATCAACGCGTCGCGTCAATTCACGTGCCGCGATATTTTCCTGTTATGTCAATCACGTGACCTTCGTCACCACTTTGCAAAGTCTTCAAAGCGACTGACGTCGACTTTAAAGTTTCATGAAGTCACTAAATCTCGAAGTGGATTGAAGCGCACTTCGAAGCCACTTTACTTAGTGACCAACACTACACATCGAGCAACCGATAATATGACACGCGGTGGCATTCAGTCCCATATGTCAATACAATATTGTGAATTCCACACAACCACCATATACAGTCATATACTCCCCATATGGGAGCTGAGCCACAGACGATCCCCTACAACGGTAATGTCAGGGAATATCAAATAGAAACAAATGCATTACCATATTTGAATATCAATTTCCGCAGATATACCCAGTGATAGAGCAAATATGGATAAATATATGGAACAATGGGGAAGTCCGGTTTTTGGCCTGATACAGTACAATGAATCATAGCTAAAATATCAAAGCACATCTCGGGTTGATAGCGAATCCGGAATATGGATGCAAATAGCGTAACACATAGCATAAAGGTGCGATATACCTGATTCGGGATCGTCCGGTATATAATCG